GAGTTCGTGTTCTGTCTGGCTGTCGACGAGGAGGTCGTTGAGGGCACACTGTGCTAGGGTTGCAATGGTTCCTCCCCCCGGGAGTTGTGTAGCTGTCTGGTAGATACGAACAAGGCTGGCTTCGATGCGGTCGGTGGTGGTGTGGTGACGTGGTGGGGGTTGCTGTGGGTGAGGGTTGGGCTGGGCGGTGGGTCTGCGGTGTCGTCTTGCTGTGTGGCGGCTGGCTCTGTGGTGTGTTTGGTGGGAGCTGCGGCTCGTGGTTGTGGCTGTGCATGGGTGGTTGGTGTAGTTTGCATGAGGCTGTGGTGGTCAGGTTGTGTGGTGGTGGATGTTGTTGTGGGGCTGGTGTGGTTGTCTGTGACGTGATCGAGTCTCTCTCTCTCTCTCTCTCTCGTGCTTGCTTGCTTGCTTGCTTGCTTGCTTGCTTGCTTGCTTGCTTGCTTGCTTGCTTGCTTGCTTGCTTGCTTGCTTGCTTGCTTGCTTGCTTGCTGGGCGTTTGGGGTGTGGGGAAACGTGCTCCCCAAGACCCCGGCGCAGCCGAGCAACGCCAATGTCTGCATCTGGGTTAGTCGGTGTGACACTTGGCTGTGATCCCCGACCCCCAAGCAGCTCCCATGCCTAGTAGAAGTCCCCGGCTGCTTTGGGTGTCGGGTTTCAAAAGAGACTCTCTCTTTCTTTCTGCAGGGCATAGGGGTCGGCGTCCCGACCCTCAAGCCAGTGGCCCACCGTCCACACTCTGTGTTAGTGAGTGGACGGCCTTGGGGTCCACGCTGACTACGGCAACCGAAAACACAGTGGGCTCTCATTTAATTGGCTGCAAGCCACCTTTTTCCCCGAACACTACAACCGCCTCGCATCTCTCGGCCTCATCCCCGCGCCCCTGTGGCTAACGTCCCCGGGGCTGGCAGGCTAACAACTCATAGGTAGAGCCTCCATGCACCGGAAAACTTTGCTCGGAGACTTTTTGGCCGGAAGACAGCCTGCCTTACCACGCCTGGCACACCGAATTCTGAAGACAACATCAGCAGGCCTACCTCTAGGTAATGTTACTGGCCCCCGGGCTCACTGCGTGGTTCCAGCTTCCGAGTTGTCCCAGCTCTTTTGCGGAGAACCTAAGGCCTCCAACAGGAACCCCCAACGAAAACCTGACCAGTAGCCCCTCTAGTCATCATTGTCCAACGAGCTCGGGCTGTCGAAGGCTTTGCTTGTCCGGGGTGGTCTCCGTCTTCTACGTAGTTCCCCAGCCGGGAGCATATTGCGCCCTCTCATTCCTGGTACTGCTGTCGCGGCTGCGGTTGTACTCGAGGCATGGGAAGCTGTTCAGGCAGCCCGCACCGCAGGGTGCACCCCTGTTTCGGGGCCTTGTGCGGGGAAAGAACTCGGACATGCCGGATAAAAAGATATGTATGGTACTCGGAGTCTCTCTTTCTTTCGCCAGGGCTATGGTGGGGAGCCCGGGCAGCGTCCTGCCCCAAGCTCTGCGCGCGAGTGCACACCCGCTGTTCGTGGCTGTCTTTCCTTGCTCCCCCTGGGGATTTTTCTGTGAGGGCTCGGCTGTACTGCATAAAGCGGAGTCGCTCTCTCTCTCTCTCTCTCTCTCTCCCCTTCGACTGTCGTCAGACCTCCCTCCCTCCCACCCTCCAGTCGTTTGTTGCTGATGGCCTCTCCAGTTCCTAGAGCAACACAGAATCTGCCCGTGCTGTTCGCGTGAAAAGGCAGTGTCAACTGTATTGAAGGCTTCGAAGTTTACTCACCTGCTTGTTCGCACAACGGCGTGCATCGACTCTCATGTGATTGGATGGTATTTCCCGGAAACACTCGCCGCCGGACATTTTCAGCAGCCGTTGGCGCCTCGCAGTCTTCCAGAACACAGCCCACGCCGTCCTTCATCATTGAAGTGCGAGATAAGATGCTACAGGGAGAAACTGGGGGCAAAAATGTCAGTGCATTACTTCGATGTGGCTGTCGAGAAGCAATGGTAAGAGTTCCGCACACGACGTGTCTCACGCAAAGCGCTGCATCAGTCGATGCAAACTGCACGTCACCGAGGCGAGCAGGGGAATTTGTTGCCCCGGTTACGCTCAGCCTTCCGAGGCAGTCTCCTGCCACAGACTGCGAGGGTGTAGGACATGTGTGAAAGCATGCCTTGGAGGCGACAAGACGTGCTTCACCCTCGCCATGTCGAGCCCTTGTCCTTCTTGAAGAACGATCTCCAATGGCCAGGCCTCCTGGGGTTCCCGGTGTTCCGCTGCCAGCTTAACCAGAAGCGAAGCTCCTGGCGGGGCTCTAAGTCCCGCCCCGCTGCCCTGCGCAGAGCACCAAACTCCAGCTCTGTCGCCAACCCTGCATCTCCTGCTTTGCAGCGCTGCCGGCCCAGCCGTATGGCATCGGACAATGTCGTGGCGTCCCCGGGCACCGAAAGTTCGATGGCATCCGCAGCATTGGGCTCGTCTGCCATCTAGGAGCAGGGCCCGGATTCGCCGTTTGCTGTTCCTTGTGCCTTGTCGGTGCTTTCTGCCTCCTCCCAGTGTATGCATGAACTTGGCTGTGGCCACGCTACTTACGTACTCGTCCACTGTTGCCGTGTGCTCTGTGCGCGTCGTGTTGAAGAACTCTTGTCAGGTGAATATTGTACAGTAGTCGCCTGCACCCAAAGTTTGCGAGCAGTGATACTACTAGCGCAAGGTGCCAGGTGATATTCAACACTTCCGACGGCACAAGTTCACCGCAACGAGGAAACGCCAACATCCACACAGCTTGGTCTCTGTCACCACGGCGCGCCTCTGCACAAAGCATGCCCGCTTCCTGTTTCATGAAACGGGTCCTCGGCCCCAGTGCACGCTGCAGGGACGCACAGCAATGAAGACAGAGAGCGTATGTGAACGAGCGTATCTGAATGATAGCTCAGCTTGACTGGGAGCATTGCACATCATCCAAGGAAGCTTCGGCAATGCCACACAGGGCCTGCATGTCTTGCGATCCCGCTAACCAGAGACCACACCCAGCCAATGCATGTCCACATACGACAGACTTCAGGGAGGCTCGTCTACTGTACGAAGCGCGTTCTCACGCTCCAGAACTTCCATGAGCTTCTTTGGATCACAGCCCACAACGGTTTGAAGGCTCTCGTTGCCTGCAACTCCTGCGACGAGGTCGAAACCTGCAATGAGGCATTGCTTTGACAGCAAGCATCTCGCAGGTGCCATTTCAGCTGTGCGGGTATGCTACCTTTAGCCAACAGCTCCTCCTGTGCCCTACGCTATGCGCTGTCATTGCCGCAATGCCGATGTGAATCGAACGCAATGTGGCACGAGGGAAATGTCTGCCTCATGTCCAAGCCGCGCAAGAACTCTCTGCCTTGCATCATTGCAGGCTCTCAACAAGGTTTGGATTGCACTCGCTGCACAGTTTCGCAAAGCCTCCTGAATGCTTGGAGCCTTACGTGAGTGACGGCACCAGCACGGGCCGCACGCCCAGCAAGGCACAAAGTGCAATATCGCCTTGGGCACGCAAGGTTACATGGCTCGGACATGCATGAGCATGCTGCTACCAGTATGGGCTCGTAGGCACTCTGTGTCTCAGTTGTAAAACTTGACGGAGGTCGAAACAGCATCCAGTTGTGATACAGGTTGGTACCTATTCACAACCTCGACATGCTTTCGGATACCTCGAAAGCTCTTTGTGCAGCTTCGCAGCTCATGAGGCCCTCCAGCCTGGGTCACGATAACAGCTCAACTGAACCAGAGTTTGCAACAGATCGCAGCTGCCGGACACGACAATTTAGACAACTGCAGGGAAGACCAAGGCCTCCCGCTTGAAGTACCTCTACTTCGAGGCTCCGCAGCGGGCACATCAAGGCCCGGACTCAGCTGCGTTTTGCAGCAGGTGCCCAGGGATGTGAAAAACCATGATGCTTTGCTGAAACCTTGGCATGCAGAGAGTTTGGAGCTTCAGCAGCTCTGCTGGGCTGAACATCATCCAGGAATGCTTCGCATCTTACGATGTGCCCATTCGGAGTCCCGTTCGGGCCATCTGCAATTCGGCACTTTCTGCAGGGCGTGGAAAACTGATGCACCACTTTGTGCATGTTGTCAACCTTGAGCGTGGCGGGTTCACCAAGTGAAACATCAGATTTCGCAGCCACATGGAGCACAGCTTTAGCGACTTTAGCGTGATGGTGCCGCAGCATGAGCTGTTCTACATGTGTGAAGGTTTCGGTACGTAGCCTGATGGTGACATCCGATAAACTGCACGATCTTTCCTCCAGCCGGAAGCCACATGCCTTGCGTCAGGTCTCCTGCTCCATGGAGTCGTATGCCTTCTGCACCTCTTGCATGCCCAAGGTTACTCAAATTGGCAGCTTCACGACAGCGCTGCTCTTGGACATCAGCTAAGTGGCTGCTTCCAGGGAGACTTGTCCACTGATGAGCTTGTGCCCAAGGGTGGCCATTCCTTCCCTGTCATGAAGTGGGCCGGGACAATGAATGCGCGCACGCAGATCACGAGAAATCAGCTTGCTTGTCCTTTTCTATGATAGCAAGCTGGTGCCTCGCTGCTTTGTCTCTTTTCTCGCGTTCTTCTATAGCCTCTTTCTGCGTCTCCATCAACGCCGTCTCGAGCCGCCTCGGCAACTCTCGAGAACAACTGCCTTGCATGCGGTGTCGGGCGTCTACATTTCATCAGTTGACCTTTCACAGAAATTCCCCCCTCTGCCCCGCATGTGATCCTGCACTGGCACATTCACTTCACTTTCCCCCAGGAAGTGGCCTGCCACCTTAAGGTTCACATACATAAGCAACTGCGAAGCTCCCAACCTGTACTATGATATGTTATAAAACTAGTAAGCTATCTTACAATATTTCATATTTGTTATAACTATTATAGTAAGGTATAGTATAGTATAGTATAGTAAAGCATAGCATAGCATAGCATAGCATAGCATAGCATAGCATAGCATGGCATAGTATAGTATAGTATACTGTAGTATAATTTAACATAGTATCGTATGATATTGTATGATATCGTATTTACAATATTATAACATACTACATGATATAATACTGTACTATATTGTATTACACGATACCATATGCAATACCTACTACATGTTGATATTTTGTATTATATATGATATGATATTTCATGAGAGTATACTGTCTTCTGGTGATATGTTATATTGTATTACAGGATACTGTAGTACATTATATGTAAAATGTTACATAGCACAGTATCTAACATTCTATTGCATCATGCCATGTTATACGCTTTCAGATTATCTTGTATAATACATTATATATTCTTGTACTTTGCTGTAGTATGTCCTATAATATTATACTGTACTGTACTGTATTAACTGACATTTTAAGTGTATTATGTTATGTTGTACTTTTGTGGATTTTCCTAGATTATGCTATACTATATTATGTTGCGTTTTATAATACTACATGGCATTACCTGCACTAGTTGTTGCGGTGGCTGGGACTGCTGCGAAGTCTCGCCGTCTTCGAGGCTGAGATCTTCCTGCAAGGACTCCAACCTCAGATCAGAGGAATCGCACAAAAACAAACTGCAGCTGCCCCTCGGCTTTGCCATGCCAGCAAGGGGCTCATCCAAAAGCTCTTCCAGAAGCTCCGCGCCTGACAGTGCAGCCAGGCACAGCATCCAGCATGAACGCTATCAGGCACCAAAGAGCCTTGTTCTTCACACCAAGTCCTGACGAAATCTCACATTGGATCATTTCACACTGTTTCGACGTTCAGCATCCAGCGACAATTTCTCGACAGTGGCCCGGTAGCTAGATGCGTGGTCACACCACTGCAGACTTATGACATCTATATACTTGTCTGCGAATCTCGAAGTCATTCGAAGTCCATCCTGATTTCCTCTGCCCGGTCGAGGAGGTTGGCCTCATCAAACTGCATTACTACAGGATGCCAGTGGCAGCCACCAAGTCTACATCTCACGATGTCGCAGAACAAAAAACTGCCGTGCCCGGCCTTTACTAGAGCCGCCTCCAAGAAGCCTTTGATCTCAACTGGCTTGTCATCTTCCTGCAAGCCGGGGACAACCGCGACCAGAAGACAGGATATCCGACTGGGCACATCAGTTTCACCACTTGTCGTCTTTGCCTTGACACGGCTTTCGTAGCCTCCGGGTGCACGACCTCCGGATAAGACTGCAAATGCACACGCAACCAAGTGCTGCAGCTAAAGGCTGCAGGGTACCTGATGCTCGATATGCCAACGGCTCCTGGCAATGGCTGCGTCTGCCATTGTAAAGGATAGTAAAGCCGTGGGCCATGATAGTGACAGGAAGACAGGCCGGCCTCTGCGAAGAGTGTGCTCCGGCCTGTCTGGACAGCGCTGCCTCGAAGCCTGCTCCAGGGAAAGCAGGAGGCAGAAAAAACCCAGCATCGAGCAGAGCAAACCTTGCGTCAGAGTACATTTGTTGGCACAACAGTGCTGCCTGGTCGTAGCACCGGCGCTGGCGAACGCGAAATCCATCAAGGGGCGGGTCTGAGTGTCGATAGACATCAAGCGACAGTCGACATGCATGTGCGTGGGTTGCTGTCCGCTTGGGGAGCATATGCGAGCTGTTTGACACATGAAAGCTCCCGCTGGTTTCTCCTCTTCTGCCCGCACTGAAAGCACGCCAGCCTCACTAGCTAGTAACGCTAGTAGAATTAGTAGAGAGACTCCCCTTCGGCTTCGAGCGCCAGGCCAGCCATGGCAGCACCGCCAACACGCAAGGCCAAGCGGGCCAAGCCTCCCCGCTATTGCGCTTGGAAAGGGTCGCATGTGGCCGCAGTGGCCGCTTCTCAAGGAGACACTTCAGTCGCCTACAGTGGCATGCACAAGCTCCGGCTGGCGCAGATGGCGGCTACTAGTACAGTATCGGCAAGGTGTCAATCGCATACTCGAGTTGCACAAGAAACGCACAAACCATCCCCACTGGAGGGCCTTCCTGCTTCCAGAACGCCGGCTCATTGCCACAGGTGTAAATGCGGCAGTGTGGAATGCAGGAAGTTAGGACATTGTATGATAAGCCCGCACTGGCACAAGGTCGGACCGATCCTCTTGAAGCTATTGGCAGCTACACACGTAGCTCTTTGTATGCAGCCGATGCGGCACAGTGTTTCGATCTCGTGCTGCAACTAGTGAAAATGCAATCTGATCAAGCTTCGCGCATGACCTCTGCTGTAGGAGCCGATAAAGCTCGTCGAACACGCATGTCTGGCTGTTCGAGGCGCGCTATCCCTTGCATGCCCTGCAATCTACACCTGGCAAGAGGCTTCGGCGAAGCTGTCCCGAAGAGTCTGGCAATCAGTGCAAAGACTAAGCGCTGTGCATTGCCACATAAGGGGCTGATGCGCGGAACAAGGACAACCTCGGCCCGACCGACGACTGCTGCACTACGACGTGGCCGGTATGTACTTAATCGGCTTCGAGTCTTTGTGCACGTGGGTCCACACTAAGACTTCCGCCACTGCCCTCGCAGCGCTTCCCCACTTTCCCCGCTCTCCTGCAAGACGTGTTTGCAAGCACCTACCTTCTGTTCTTGTTCCTGATCTATACCACCTCAAGAACACGCGGAGAGGAATCGTCATGAGCCAGAAAACCCTGGGCCAAGGTGACCGGAAACCGCCGACCTTGGAGGACACGACCCGCAAGCGCGCGGGGTCCATGTACATCGCAGCTCTTATCTCCTGCGAGGACGTATTTTGCTGGGACGGTGTTCCCATGTGTTCCCCATCAACCGCTCACCCGAGTGCTCCGTCTCCAAGAGCTCCCTTTGCGCCGATAGCAGCGCAGAACGGAAGCGCCTGCGTGACCGCGGCCGTGGACCATGCCTCAGCAGACCCACCAAGACACATCAACTCCGAGGTGGCAGAAAGTAAGTCGCATTTCCGTCCGAAGCTGTGCCGCCTCTACCAGTACGGAGCTCTGTGTGCGCAGTCCCTCTGTGACTAAGGGCCGCTTGAGACGTGTTGCGCAAGGGTGGTACGGCTCTCTGCTACGGTACCAACGAAGCTATGCATCAGAGAAGGAAGCCAATCTGATCAACCTGCTGTACCTGCGATGTTTTGAGCGCTTGCAAGGGATTGTGAGTGTGTTCAACAGTTGCAAGGTTGTTGCTTGAGTGGAGATGTGCACCGCGGTGGGTTGGCTGTCTTTGCTTGCCTCGGGTGTCGCTGGTGATGCCCAGGTGTGTGAGCGCCTTGCAGTAAGTAATCTTGCATTCCAGCAGATGCAGAAGATTGTGCATATTACGCCTGCGAAGCCTGATGGACAGCCTCATGCTGGGGCAGCATCCGACAGGCCAGGGCTGCTATGAGCGCAGCTGCAACGCCCCTGCCAAAACTGCTATGAGAATCGAAGGAGTGTTGGAGCTTTGTTTCGCTGAAAGTGCCGGGCCTTGGATTGCCAGCCTTTGCTAGCTGCCTGAGCCGTGAATCTGCCAGCTCGCCTGAGGTCGGTCCAAGTAACATTCAAGCCTTCGGCTCATGACAGCACTCATGTCCTCCTCACATCACCACATGGGAGTGACGAGTGATGAGATGTCATTACCATGGCATGCTTTTTGGGCACATCGCCGCATCTGTTAGTTGTTGCAGTGATGATTCTTGTGCTGTTGTCCCTGACTACAATCGGAGCAAATTCCAACAGCAGGCTGAAACATCGCTGTCGACGGCAGCCAAGACTCAGGGAGAACCGTTAGTGTAGAGTCGAGTCTAGATTAGCAAGAGCGTGGGCTGCATGCAAGAAAATTTTCGATACTCTGGAAAAATGTCGTGAATCACAGAGTTCATAGTAGCCTGACCGAAAACCCCGAAGCCAACGGCAGCTCCACAATCAGCGAGGGAGCATCTCCATGCTCTCGGAGGCCTCTCTGCGGGCACGCGGAAGGGCAGCTGGTCCCCGTACCGGACAGAAAGCAGAGGCTGCACATCGCATCTCTCGGAGACTCGCCCGAGGCGCTTGAGTGCTCGAGTCTTGGATCTCGTGGGGCTTAAAGTTGCGGGGCGGCTTCGGATGCCTCGGCAATCTGCGAAATGAATATCTCCAGAAAGCGCAGATCGCTTACAGTATTGATTTTACAGGAAGCCTCGCAGTCGTAAAGAAATGTGAGGAGAGTTTGGTGAGTTAGGTGCTGGTAGATCAAGAAGTCCCTTGAGGTGCAAAGAGTTCAATGAGTTCAAACCTATTTTTCTGTGGGCCCAATGGTCGCGGCTCAAGGCGAAGAATGAGAGCATGTCAGCTCGAACATGCTCGTGCACTGAGGCAACCCATCCTGGAAGATGGAACGTGTCTCCTACAGCATCCGTCCACAGCAAAGGTGGTTCTGCTGCAAAGCCATGCGCAATGCAGGTCACCAGTAGAGCCGGTGACTCTCTGATGTTGCGGAAACTTCCTGCACCGACGTGCAAGTGCTGCAATGCGCTTTCTGACAGGACGCGAGAGTCCCTGCAAGGGACGCCATGTGGGCGACGGAGGAGTTCCCGCTTTATTAAACTTTGCATAGGCAGCGAGTTGCAGTTTCATTTTTAACTTAATACACAAACAGCCGCCAGCAGAAAATTATCTGCGAATGCAAGCAACTAGTTGTCGGGTCTATCATCGCAAAATTCGCAAAGCGATGTCGAGGGCCGGCGACATCATGTCGTGAAGGTTTCGACCATCTCCTTCCACGACTACTCCCCTCCCATCTGTGAAGCTGTTGACTGCATCCAACTTCTTCGTCTTTGAGGTTAACACTTTGGCACTTTGGCCTCTTCAAAAGAGACGCTCGATGTGGTTAACAGGAGGACTACCAACATTCACACCCATCCGCTGTTCCAGCTCCCAATGCTGCGGTCTGTCCAATCGCCAGTTGAGGAGCCGAGGGTCCACTGGACATATCTGGACGCCGGCACTGGGCTCGAAGCACACAAGTAGAAGCCCGAAGCTCCCGCTTCTCCCGCTTGTTTGCAAGCACAGGATGCAAACCGGCGATCGGAACTTAGGGAGTCGGGTTTGGGGCTCAAGTCACAGGTATAGTACTCCGGCATTCCCAGCCAGCAAGGTGAAGCTGTGCTCACCGTCCTCGCCTGCCCATTTTAGCCCCGTGAGGTTGGAAAGACCGCAACCTGGCTTTTTCTGCATAGGCCCGCCCGACTATACAAGCTTTGGTTTTGCAGGCGACCCCGCAGTCTCTGCCCGTTGTCAACATGGCGTGGTTGGGGCCCGAAAGTTTTCGAGGATTCCGTGGAGGTGGATGACAACGGAAGACACTGCGTTTCCGCAGGATCTTGCATCTCACTGTAGGATGCTGTTCCTCACCACTCCAGAGTTGTGAGCATCTCGCGCCAACTCCGGAGACGACCCTCGGAGAAGAACAACAAACAGTAGCTGACCAGAAATGGCGGAAACCACACCCTGACCATTCGGCCTACTATACAACCTCTGGCCAAGGGGATGTCCACATTCGATCAGCGCACAAGACTGATGCTCACCAATCGCATCGAACCGCCAAGAACGACAAAAGAAGACTGTACAGCGACAAAGAGTTTCTGATGCCCAAATCTGTCAGTTCGGCTTCCGACTCCTCGCCCTCGGATGTCGTTTCGGATCCCATCCTCGCAGACGTTGTGGTAGATGTCGTGTCTTCGGACACCTCGATAGTTCCAGATGTGCTAGAGCTGCTGGGGCCGCCGGAAACAGCGGCGGAGCTTGAAGTGCTCGTGTAGGTTGCGTTGAAGCCAGGCGACCGCAGTTTGCACTCACCCATGTGACATTGCTCAATGACTCCGAACTGCTCGGCATTCCCGAAGTTCAGGGAGTCTCGAATCGTGAAGTAGAACCTCGGATCCAGCGCGCAGCCCTGACCAGCCGAGGCTTCCAATTATTGGCACCAAGCAGCACGTGATCTGGAGGCTCCACGCCCGGTGTGCTGCCATCCCATTGGAGGAAGCTGTCATAATACTTCTCCAAGCTCTCCTAGCACTTGCAGGTTCGCTCTGCATGCGTGAACCCAGCCGCATGGTAGCGAAGGTGCAATCAATGCTCACTGACTGCTGCTGCAGATCTAAATGATAGCTGGCATGTTTACAAGAAATAGAAACCTGCTTGTCAATGGCTTGGCCAAAGCGATAGTGAGTGCCAGCACTGACAATCAGACAGCTTCTCGCTTGAACCAAGAATCCGGTGCAGCCCAGTTTTTGCAGTATTTCATCTCTGACTGCACACTTCCGCTGGAAGACCAGCCAGTCTCGCCGATCCAGAATGTGGTATTGGACTTTCCAGTCAGGTCAGTCATCTTGCGCCGCATGTACGCCATGGACTTCGGGGCATCGCAACTGTTGTCAAAGCACAACGAGCGATTGCGAGCAAACTCGCACTGGTCTGTCGTCCCTTCGTCCAGGCGCTCGTTGGGATCAAAGTACGGATAGGTGGTCCAGGTGAATGCATATCTGTCCCCGAAGGTCGCTGTGGCATTCTGGAAGAAGGAGTTCACCCGGGCCTGCAGAAGGTGAACAAACTATGAGAGCGGGAAAGGTCTGGTATGAGCAGCAAATAGGCAAGGTCATGGCAGTTTCGCATGCCATCCACGTGGTTTGAAGGCACATGTTCTGGTCTTTTCATGAGCAGAAGCCGCCTTGCCCACCTGCTCAAAGAAAGGGTGCGTGGAGTTGCCGGCGAGAGCTAAGCCGCCAAAAACAGACGTCACCTGAGCTTTGACAGCTCCGGTCGGGTTCAACGGGCCGAAGCTTCGTGCCTTGTGCGGTAGCAGAGTCCAAGTCGCTGGAATGGATCCAAATCCCAAGGAATCGAAGTCGTCTACAATTCCTCGGAAAGTGCTATGTGCGTGTGCTGGCGGTCTCGCTACACCCCGACGCATATGACCGGAGGCGAGGTGCTTGTAAAAATCTCCCACAAGCCTCCGCGCTCCCACAATCGATCAATGCCTCGGAGTGCGCTCGAGTTGGACACTGCCACACTGCTACATAACATGTCATGTCTGTGTGCCGTAGGGCGAAGATGTTCGAGACTGATCCCTGTCCACTCTCTCAGCGGCCTGCAACATATGCAAGACATTCCAAAGAGTCTGGCGGGATTCACGGAATCAGGTGCGGTGAGGGCTTCAAAGGGTGCTCCCCGCCACGCCGGAACGAACCCCCACAATGGTCAGCTGCAGGCTTCCGGCTTGGTGCCGAAGCACGCGCACACGCACAGACATGCACATTGCACACACAAACATGTGCACTACCCTTTTCAGAACGTTCATAGCGCACGCGACACCCGCAGGTGAAGTTCCGGACTGAATCAAAGATTGAAGCTATCACTCTCTGAGGCGTCTTGTGCAGGTTTAAGTTGCGAAATATCCCTTTAGTGTTTGGGGGCTGCTGGCCTCTCTAACTCCTGTCCGGGTTCAGGATCTGCCAGTCAAAAACCTCTCAGTCATTAAGTGCCGCCTGCGTGCATTCCTGATCCACCGTGTCTGAGAAGGCAAACTTGGTGAACAGCAGCTCCAGTTCATTTCCTGTGCGAACAGGTGCTGCCATTGATCAGATCAAATCGCATCTGGGCAGATTTGGACGACGCCCTTCAACAGTCGTCAGGCCTATGGCCAAACCCATGATGCGATCTGGGCCCAAGACCTGAAGGTCTCGAAAGTCGAGGAAGATGATGACAAGTGCTAAACGCGAGATAA